ATGATTTTCAGAATCTGATGTACCTTGAGATTTTAATACTAAAAAAAAAAAAAAAACTAATGAAATACAATTTTATGAATTCATAATATATTTTACATTGTTCGAGAAGCCATGCATGTGTAATCTCATGTTGATCATATACAATCGGTGTACCAGTAGAATGTGTAATACGTTCATGAATCAATGTAGATCGTTGAAGATCACGATTTGATTTTAATAAATTCGATAGTGCATCTTCCATATCTTTAGCTTTACGAAGATTAACACCTAAAAAATTAAATATATTTTTTCATATTACAATAGATTTGTTTAGTTTTTTTTTGTACAAGAGACAAACATAAATTTAGATTGTATCTCGTTTTATTTTAAACAATGTTTTCAAAAATACTACAAGATAGTTTGGATGAAATTTATGCAAGAACATTTCCTCCGATAGAATAGAGGCTTGCCGTATCCACATAATCGCAAAATAGAAATGTAAATTTCTTTCATGAGCTAATCAAATCATTCTCCCCTCCAAAAGTTTTTACGTGAGAAATAATTTGAAAATTCAATGAGTTATTATTCTACAGAAGAAGGGTTATTCTAATTATTCTTCTAATGAAATCCAAGTTTATATTCATAATGAGAAATTCTGTCTATATATATTAACCTGTTTTTGTTGCTCTAGCGTGTGTATCAGATTTCATTCTAGCTGTTTGTGCTGATGATGGTCTTTGTCGTTCAATAGGTGGTAATTTATATGATGTAGAAAAACTTGGTTGATGTAAATTTGTTAATGAATGTAATTGCATTTGTGAAACTGTTAATGCATCTGTAAAATTAATTGCAGAATGTGTATTTAATAATAATGAATTTGGTATAAATTTTTCATTTCTTTTATGTAATTGTATTGAACGTATAATAAGTGATGATAATAATTGCATAAATTCAACTTCATGTAAATGACGTTTATTACGATTTAAATCTGATAAACGCATTGTACTTGTTGTTAATTGTGATGAACTTCTTCTATTAACAGTTATATGAATTTGATCACTAAATAAATCCATAAGTGAGATTTTATGTGGAATTAATACACGACGATTTGGTATCATACGATAATAACCAAAATCACGTTTATGATCATTAATTATTGTTTGAATTGGATCAGATATTTGTTCTTGATTACTATCTATAGAAGGTTGAATTTGAGTTTTATTTTGTTCAAGAATTTCTATATGAAAAAATGAAATAATCAAATTAAAATAAAATTATATATCAAAAAATGAAAATACCATTTTGTTTTGCATATGAATCCCACATAGTTGAATTATTTGGTAAAAGTGGATGACTAGAAACAAAAAAAAAACTAAAACCAATCATATGTAAAATATTAAGAGAATACCGTTTTCCAGATGATTGATCGGAAACACTTGTTTTAACTGATGTTCGACTTGGTTTTTCAATAGGTACAGTTGGTTGTTTACGTAGACGAGGTGTTTGTAAAGATGATAGTGAAGATGGTTGTGGTAATTCTTTTCGTGATTTTGGTACATGATGTGAAGCTTGAAGAATAGGTCTTGGTTTTTCATTTATTTCAACACGAATTGGTGGTTCAACAGGAGTTAGTACTACTGTCGAAGAATTTAAACTTGGAGTTACACTAAATTGACTAGGTGTTTGTTGTAAAACATGACGACTTTTATGAATAGCTGGTTGTTCATCTATTCGAGGAGTTGATGAACGTGAACGAACAATTGGTTTGATATCATCGATTTGTTCGTTAATATCAGGAGAAGGATGATGAGTTGAATCTTCAATATTTATATATAGGTTTTCTTGTTGTTCTTCATTTGTTGGTAGAAGATTTTCTTCTTCTTCTTCTTGTTCTTCATCTTCTTGTTTTTCATCTTCTTGTTTTCCATCAATTGGTACTGACGGATGATCATCTGCTGTTGATGGTGGTGGTGTTAATGCACGATTTTTTTCTCTTAAATAATTTTGAAGACTAAAATCTTCTTCTGGTAAAGTCTATAAAAAAAATTTAGAAAAAATTAAATAGAAAGTATTTGTTAAAATTTTACTTGTAAATATGGAATATCATCTGCACAATCTTTTAAAACAGTATCCGACATAACAGAAGTTAATCTTTTTAATGTATCACAACATTCAGTTCGAACCAAAATCTATTGTAAAAAAAAAGAAAAAATAATTATTAAACTAAATAATTAATACAAAAAAAATATATATACTCGTGGATCATTTATAAATGAATTAAGTAATGCAATATCAATAGCTTTAGTTTCTTTGCCTAAATCAGCTAAAGTTGTTGCAGCTATCAATCGATGATCGGCATCAGTATGTGATAGAAGTGATATTATACCATTTGATACTTGATCAAATTGTTCATTTGAATAGCCAATTGCACTAAAAACAAACATAATCAATCGATTATGAGAAAAGCAAATAGACAAAATATTCTTCGATTATAGCCACAAAATTGACATAACTTAAAATTCTCTAGTCCGATCGTTCCGACTGTCGAACATAATGGCTTAAACTACTATAAAACACTGTATTACACTTCACCGTTTTTCATTGTAAGTCATTATCCCACTTTTTTAAAGGTCAGTTTTTCCGCTAATATTTTCATTGTCTTATGGTTTTACGAAAAAATCATGACATAGCAAATCTGTCGATATTTAGTCTATTAATAGTGTTTTGTATAATTCGAAGATCTATAATATCTATCAGAGATTTATATCGAAATAGAAACGTCTATTATACATGAGAATTCTGTCGAGATATGTCTGTGTCAGTTTTACTTGGTCTTATCTTTATTTGTTAATTATCAATTGACAAATAAAAAAAAAGAGAGGCAATTCTAGTATTGAAATCTATATGAAGTGCCTTTAAGAGATTTCAATAAATATTAAAAGCAATGATAGATATCACTTAATCTTTAAAAGTTACCCTGAACTTAATATACGATAGTAAAATCATTGAAACATTACATAAAGAAATTCGAGATAAAAATTTCTATAAAGGAAAATCTCAATTTATTTACCGATGTAATTGAACAAGATGTGATGTTAATGTTTTAAGTAGTGTTTTACTTGCTGTTGGTAATTTAACAAGTATAGCATCAATAATTGAATCAAGTGTAATTGGATTATTATCACGAGGATACCAACGTTCGTCAGAAATCTTTTTTAATAATGGATGAAGAATATTATCATCAATTTTTTCACTATCTTTTTCTTCATCAATTAAATCAGATGCAGTTTGTGACTGTTTATATTTAATTCTATCAATAATTGTTTTTAATGAAAATGTATCTTCAGCAGCATCCTTGAAAAAAAAAACAAATATTTTTGTTTCTAACTAAATTCTACTTACTCGAACAATTGACATATTATTAAGAACTAAATCAATATCATCTGAATTATTAACATCTGTAATAAATTTAATTGCATTTATTGTTTCTTGTCGAAGTATATTATCCTTCAAAAAAAAAAAAACATTAGTTTTGTTATTAAAATATATATATTTATTTTATTATTATTACTGGTTGACATTTTAATGTAAAATTAAGTAATGGAACAATAATATCTTTTCTTTCAATCATAAATTGAGCTATTGTACGAACTGTATGGATATTTAATGGATCATTTTCACCTTCAGATAAATGATTTAGTAGAATATTAAGAATTTGATTAACAAGTGATGGTTCAATACCATACGTTCTAATAAATAAATAAATAAATTAGAAAAAAAAAAGAAAATTTTCTTTTATTAAATTACCGAAATATATCAACAACATAATTACAAGCAGATTCATATGAATCATTTTGTTTAGCTCTTATTATTTCAATTAAATAAAGTAACATTGAACGTAAACTATTATTTGCTTCATCATCTGTTTGTTGCCACCATGATTCATTTTTCATTTTTTTAAATAATTCTGGAATTGTTTCCTAGATAAATCAAATACACACAAAAACACAAAAAAAAAAATTTTAATTCCTTTATTAAACACATCCGTTATTAGTTAATATAAGCATTTTCCCCTCAGAAAAAACAAAACTCAAACCAAAAATGAAAAAAACTACCTCATCCCAATATATATTATATTGAATATCTTCTATAGAGAAATCATCATCAAGCTACGCTAAGGATAAGAATTATCTGAGAATATTTCTTTTTTTCTTTACCTGTTGACGAGGCCTGATTGTACTCGATTTTGGATGTACATCTTACAAAACAAAATAAAAAAGTCCGATTATGATTAATATTAATTTATTAATAAAAATGAATACGTTTAAGTTTTTTTGCACTAGGTGGTTTCGATGAAGGTTGAACAATTGAACTTTCAGGATCTTCTAATTCTACCCATTCATCATCATCGTTTTGCCAATTAAGATTTTTATTCGTTTTGTTCTAAAGAAAAGAAAACAAAAAACCATTCAATTGATATATAAAAATATGATAAAACATAAAAAAAAAGCACACTAAAAAGAAACCATAAAAAAGTTAACTGTGATGAAAACAAACAGACTCCTACAGTGTTTATTTAATAACAAACCTCTAGATTATCAAGTATATCCTAAAATATAAGAAGAAACATATAAGTTTTATTTTATATGCTTACAATTTTATTTAATGATTGAAAAATAGTCGAATGAATACCATCGAAATTTGTTAATACAGCAAATCGTTTTAATCGATCATCTAATTCATTTTGTCTTGTATTTGATGTTGTTGGTGAAATCTATTTGTGAGGTTTTTATTTTTATTTTTTTTTTGGTTTCTCAAATACATTTTTTACTCGAAAAAAAAAATTTTTTTTCTGTCTTTCCTTTTTTTTTAATTTACATACCAATCTTAATTGAAACATTTTTACTTCAACTGGTTCAATTTCTTTCATTTTGAACATTGAACGAAGTGTTGAATTAGGAATTAAAGCTAAAAAAGAAATCAAATATTGTCTTATGAGTAGAAGAATTTTATCATATTTTGTGAAACACGATCTAAAAGTAAATGTTGAAATCTAGGGGTTAAAAGTTTATATTTTCCATCACAGATATTATTGATATAATATATGACTGACTTTCTTATTGAATTTCTTGAGGATTAAGTAAAAGAAATTTATCTCATAATAGATCTCCCTATGATTAGCAACAGCAGTTACATTGTGTTTCACATTTTAATTCTGTAAACAAGTTTATTTTTACCATCAGGTGCAATTGGACATTGTTTTTTCTTTTCTAACATTTTCGCCATTTCAGCTTGAGCTTTTTCTTGTTCGAGTGCTTCAAAAAAACCCAATACATCTGGCTCGTCAAGATCAGTTGGAACTGAAAAATTAAAAGAATACAATATAAATAATAATTTATATTGTATAATAAACCTTTTGAAATAATTCTTTCATCGAGTTGAATTGTTTTAGCTGATTCGACTATATTTCTAGATGTAACAATCAAAAAATATACATAAAAAACAAAAAAATCGGAATTATTTTATCATAATTCTACCTGTTACTATTTATTTGTCCTTTATTTCGTTGTAAATAATACAACGGTGAAGGTGTTTTTGGATGTATCATGTTTTTTATCCTCAATATCTCAACTAACTTTCAGTTAACACAATTCAACAAAAAAAAACTGAATAAAGCAAAAGCCGATGTATTACACTTGAAATTGTTGATGTTATTCTAATAAGGTAGACGGCTTTTTCTTTTTCTATGCTTGATCTTTTTTTTACGGTGTCATTAAAAATCTCTACCCACTAAAATCTCAAATGTATTCATTTCAATATAAATAAAAAAAAGAAAAAAAGTGTGAAATAGATCTCTTTGTTTTTAATTGAAGAAAAGAAAAGAAAAAAAAAATCGACTAAAACTTTATAATTTTCTGATTAAGCAAACAAAAGAAAAAAGATTTATTTGTTTAACTTTAAGAAAAAAAAAAAAGAAGAGCACTGACGTCATGACATTCAGATATACTAAACAGTATGTTCTTTCCACTAATTAAATTTTTATGTTCCGATTTTGTCAACATTATTATTTGAATAAAAAAAAATGCTAAAGTATCGAGATATATATCTAGAATACTTATTTTCTTTCTTTTATTTCAAATATAAGAAATGTAAACATGAGAAACCAATGAAAGATGAAGGTTTTTTAAAATATCATTAATTATACTCCCTGTTAGTCAAATACATACTGATCAAAATTTTTATTGATTTGTACTGGTAATTCAATTGAATCATCCTAAACGATAGAATATAATAATTGAATATGATAATATTTTTCCCACCATAGGTTTTCTTAGTAAATTTGTATTTTTTTTTAATTGAAGAAGCACATAAAAGTACGCGTTTCAAACATATGAATTGGAAGAAAATTCTACTCTTTTGTTCTTATCTTTCTTTCTTTTTTTTTTCTCCTTCTATATAATTTGGCATCATCAATGACTTCCACCATTAAACAACAAAAAAAAAAAAAAAAAACAATTTGCATTAGAAAGAAAGACGTTCGTTGTTCTTTTTTTTTTTTTCATATTTTATTTTAAATGAAGAATGATGATAATTTTATAGATAAATAGACATCAAAATGTCATTGCTTAAAAAAAAAATATAATTTAATTTTCATATGACAGTTGTACTTAGATGTAAAATTAAAAAAAAAGAAAAATTTGTCTGTTAATCAGATAAATATTTTAAAAAAGTAGATCAATTTCTTTCTTTTCGTTTTGTTTCTATGCAACAAAATTATTTGTTTATAACATTTTCTATTTACCTTAATTGTTTTTTTACTTAAATCAAATAAAACTTGTTCAGGTGCAAAATCACTTATCATTAAAAAACTATAAATAAAACAATATATATATATGAATTTATTATTTTTTTAAGAATTAATCTTACTTTAATCGTCTATTTGATATTAATAAAATATCTCCTCGATCATTAAGATTAGCAATTGATATTAAAGGAAAATCACATTTTATTTTTCTTATTGCTTCATTATTTCTTGTCCATAACTATAATTTAAAAAACAAAAAATATATATTTTTTTTGTCTATGATATTATTTTTATTTACCATAATTTCATTTTGAGTATTTAATGTTGCAAATAAACCTAAAGTATCACAACCAGTAAGTGATTTAATTGGTGAATGTTCATAAAGAATATCTTTAGGTGAAATTTCATCAAGACCATTGATTGTTAATGAATACATTTGAATATAACCACGTTGATTACATGCAATAGCTATTCGATGTTCAGCCATAGCTGCACCAATACATGGAGCATCGAGACGAATCTTTTGTTTTTAAAGAAAAAAAACAATAAAAAAAGTTGTTTTCGTTTTGTTTAAATAAATTTACTGCTAATCCTAATTGACGTAAAAATATATCATGACCATTTATTGATAGACGATAAAATTTTGCAATAAAATCATTTCCAACAGCAAGTAAATATCTTGCTCCTCCTAAGTAATAATAATAATAATAGTCGAATAATCTATTAAATACTTAACTAAATCTTACTTCGAGTAGTATATGTTTCATAAGCTTGAAATATTTCTAAACAATCAACTGTGACTGTATCATCAAGTATTTGATAATAACTATATAAAGCTTCAGATGTATCGGGTAATAATGCATATTTAAGTTTATGATCTCCAGGAACAAGATAGAGCTAGAAAATATAATTTGAATAGATATAAATAATAATAAAATATATCAATTATTGAATATACTTTTCCATTAGTTGTTCCAACAAATACAACTCCAAATGCTCGACGTTTTCTTGTATATTCAGGAAGAAGTGAAAACTTCGACAAAAAAAAATATTAAATATTTCAAAATTCTTAATTAATACATACCCACATAAAACAACAAAGTTTAGTAAAAAGACATTCATCTTTAACTTCAAATATATTTATTAAATACGATGGATAACTTGCACAATAGTAACTACATACTAAATTAAAATATAAATTAAATTAAATTAAATTGTATATTAAAAATAAATTCAATTCTATATTTACCTGCTTTACTTGTTAAAATATAAAGAATTTCTCCAGCTGTATCAAATACAAAATCATTAACAATAATTCTCTACATAGAAAGAGAAAAAATAATAATAAGAAATCAAAACATTATTATGTATTTTTAATTCAATAGAAATAAATTTTTATTTACATCAGGTGATAATGGAATAATATTAATGATTTGTGATGAACGTGGATTATAAAGTGTAAAAAGATTTTGTGGACCTCGTATAGCAACACGTGCTGGAATACTACCAACTGGAAATGTAACACGTACTTGTTCATTAGCTTGTAATGCATGAGAAAATGATCGAATTGGCTATAAAACGAAACATAAAAAAAAAATTAAAAATATAACAAAAGAAAACTATTCTTTTTATTACTAATGTATAAACTAATAATTGTAATTCATGTTTAAATTTAATAAGTAAATCTTCACCACGTACAAGCATCATTCGTTCAATAGGTTCATTAAAACGATGTTCACCAAGCTAAGAAACACAGGATATTATTTTTTTTGTTTTGTTTTTTAATTGTATAAAAATTATATTTACTTTAAGTAATGAATCAAGAGAATAAAAACATACAGTTCCATCTTCAGCACCAGTAACTATTACACCATCAGCAGTAATTAATAAACCTAAATAAACAAATAAATAAAAATCTAATGTTAAATATTCGTATTACTCACTCATCATAGCAGCTTTATGTACTTGTAATTGATATCGAATAGGAATTGATTCACTTCCAATTTCAAATATCTACAAGAAAAATTTGTTTTTAGATATTTACAAAATTTAGAAATGAAAAAAGAAGATGATCATGATCTTATCTCCTATAGAACTCTGCTGCATTTTCTAAGGTCATCTATTGCTACTTTATCTTTCATTTTCTTAGATATATGACAATACGTTTTTTAATTACCTTCATTACACCATCAGAAAATCCCATTATGATAGAAAAACCATAAATAATTGCACTAAAAGACAAATTTTTTTATTTTCTTCTATAAAAATTATTTTAAAAAATTACCATGTAACTGGTGCACCATGAGCAGAAAGAACACTTGCTGATTCTCGATTTAACTAAAGAAATCAAACAAAAAAAAAAAGAAATCATTTTCATTGAAGTAGAATATGATAAATACGAACAAGTGTATCAAATATTAAACAACCTTTATGACCAACAATAAATAATTTATGTGTTATTGGATCAAGTTTCATATCAATAATATTATGTTTTCGATTAATAAATACCGATTTTAATCTATCACCAAGTCGTAAATCATATCCACCCTATTAACAAAAAAAAAAAAACAAACTATTGAAATATTTCTATGAGAAAATTTTAATATTTACTATTTCTTGAACAAGATACCAACGAACAAAGAAACCATTATCACCACCAACATATATGATATCACGTGAAGTTTTATCATAAATTATTCTTAAAAAATATTATAAGTACAAAAATAAATAAAAAAGTATTCGATTAAATATATTTTGTTTTTACCTTCGAGCAACACCTGGACATTTAATACTTGTTAAATATTTTAATTGACCATTTTTATTTGAAAGTAAATATAATCGATTATTTGAATAACCAACAATAAGCTGAGAAAAAAAAAACAACAGATAGAATCTTTTGTGTTTTTTTTTGTTTGTCAAATTTTTAATTCTTCATACTTTAAGTTTTGATATATATTTTAATAATTGAAATGATGGAAATTGAAAATCATATCTTAAATTTAAAAAGATATTAATATATGGATTTTGATAATTTTTGTATTTACTTTAAATATCGTCGAATAATTCCTGTATTTAATGAAGTAAAATAAACAACAATTGCTGAACGTGGATCTTTTGGATCATCATAAAATAATGATGTAATAATCATATCTTCTACATCATCCGAATTGTCATCGTCATCAATTGATCGATAGTATGTAAATGCTTGAAGATGAGTATCAAATTTAAATTTAGTTAAAGGCTATATTTTAAAGAAAAACAAAGGATCATCATATTGATTCTTTTTTTTTTTTTCGTTTTCTATAGAAAAATCAAATATACTAACTCGACTTGAAAATAACGGAAATTGAGGAACTTTTGATGCTAAAGTAGAAGTTCTACGTGAAAGATGTAGAGATTCTTCATGAATTGTTGCAGTACAATGTAATTGATTAAGAATACGTGCTTTAGCTGATGACCATGAAAGTAATTTTGGTTGAGCTAACATTTTATACAATAGACAGTTGAAAAAAGAAATCTGTTGATTTTTTATTTATTGCGTTACGTTGGTAATAAAAAATTCTGTTTCGTTTGAGAGTTGAATTAAACTAGAGAGAATTTGTAAGCTTATATATTTATATATGTGTACTCAAGATAAGATTGAGTTTTTAGTTTTAACAGTCAGATTACTTTCTTTGCATTATTATTATTGATAAATTATTTTAGATAGAAAAGAAGAAGAAGGTCGTCGTATGAAAAAAATAAAAAAATATATATTAAAACAACAATTATTTAAATATTAATAAAGATATTGAATTGTTATCATAAATCCTTGATTTCATAATGAAAGGACTTATCGAAAAAGTCCTAGTGATAATTACACAGTTGATATTGTTATATAAACAAAGTTTATTTTCTAGGAAACATCTGAAATGGATGAACACTTATTCTTTCTTAACTCCGTTAGTTTCGAAGGTATAAAAACTAAATTCCATTTATAATATTCATCTTCCAGCGTCATCTGTAGATATCGATTATTGGTAAATCTGTCAAATCATATAGTTATATTCATTTTTTATCATTTTTTTTCAAATTCTGACAGATAAAACAAGAAAATATTAATCTATATGATTGGATAAGTTCATTTAATAAATAATTCTATGTAATATAAAAACGAGAAAATGTTTTGATTCATATTTATTTTTGTTAACTGATAAGAATCTTTCTTTTATTATCTCGTACTATTTTATTTTTTATTTTTAGATATGAGTGATTTTTTAGCAACAAATAATCCTTGTGGTCAAAATCTTTTACAACTTGTTGCAACAGGAAATGCAATTATAGCTGAATTATTACGTCTAGCTGATTTTATACCACCATTATTTAAAGTTCTTAATATTCGTGATGCAGGAAAATATGCAGATATTATATTTGATTTTTCATACTTTTCTAAACAAGAATATTATGATGATTTGATTAATAATCGAGCAGTAAGTTTAATAATAAATAATTTTTATTTGTCTTTTTTTGTTTTTTGACTTAAATAGGATCTTCAAGATCTTGATGATGAATTTCGTGAAAATAATCTCACTTTACTTACACGATTTTATCAAGCATTTGAAAGTGTACAGAAATATGGAATTGAGTTTAATCGGTAAATAAAAATCAAAGATAATAATAATAATAAGTATTCGAAATTTTGAACTATTTTTTGAAAATTATATGTATAGATATATTGAAGATTTAACAAATGGTACTTATTTACAACAAACAGTTGAGAGTGTTATTGCTAATGAAGCAGGAAAACAATTAATGGTAAGAAAAAATTTTGAATACATTTTTGTTTTTGATACGAGATTCAGTTGTTTCGTTGCCAACGAAAAACTTTATCTACTTTCTATACCGCAGTAAAATTTAAATAATCGGCTAGTATTTAGGAAACCTATGATTTTTAAATTAATTATTTTGGACACTGGAAAAATTTGATGAAAGTTAGTCGAAGCTCAATATTTTTAACTAATTTGATTGAAGGTTCAATTATGTTTATCTATAAGGAATGATAAAAAAACCGACTTTACGGGTTTCCGTGACATTGTTGTATCGCGGCAAAAAAATACACCTTAGGAGAGCATGGAGAAGTCTCATTTTGTACAGAATCTTTTGGTCTGCCATTCTATGTAGTCGGAACAAAATTGTATTTACGCATTTTAGATGCTGAAAATCTAGGATTTTAGTTTTGTGAAGATCCTATTTTTGGGAATCTGATAAGAATTATCATTTTCCTTATTGTCCATTGTATGCCTGATTTTTTAATCCCAATCAAGCGAATTAAAGCAAAATCTTTCAGTTTTTATATTTCGAGCAATTGTAAACTAAACATCCATGAAAAGGATCCGTTCGTGCTTAAACTAAACCATCGTTATATCTAACAATCTCTGTCAAATTATATCTGACTGTAATTAGTTGGAATTTGAAAAAATATATTGAAGAAGAAACAGATGTATCTATGATTTAATATTAAATCATTTAGACTGAAGCTGTTTATCTATTTGGTGTAATGTTAATAATATTAGATTTAAAATATGATGGAGCTGCTCGAGAACGAATGATTGTTTCTTATTTTCGTTATAGGTAAAAGACTTTTATTTATATTTAGAAATGATTGAAAATTTTTTTTTTGTTTTCGTAAAAATAAAAATAAATTTTAGTGGTAAACGTAATGCATTGGATAGTAATATAGATGAAGTAGGAAAATTATTAGCACGAAATGATGGTTTTTCTCTTCAACCATATAAACGTCCAGTTGGTTATCCAGAAAATTATTTTAGGTAAAAAAAAAAAAAAAAAAAAGCTAATCAATATATTTTTATATATTTCATTTTTATTTTTAAAATAGACGTATTGGTTTTCGTGAAGATGTTATTGGTATAATTATAGGTCGTTTACGTTCTGATGATATATATAATCAAAAAAAAGCTTATACAGAACTTGAACATCAAACAGCAGCATATGCAACACAAGCATCTATGCTTTATGTTTTACTTTATTTTTATCCAGATGTTTTACATAATAAACAAGCTGTTATGCGTGAAATTGTTGATAAACATTTTGCTGATAATTGGGTTATTAATTTATATATGGGTATGACAGTCAATTTAATTGATGCATGGGAACCATATAAAGCAGCAAAAGCAGCACTTAATAATACACTTGATATTCAAGCTGTTAAAAGTCGAGTATGTCTATTTTATTTGTTTTTTTCCCAATAATAAATTTAATGAATAAAAATTTTCAAAAATCTTATTAAATTGTTTATTGTTTAAAAAAAAAATGAATAGTTTATTATTTTTGCAATAAAAGATTATTTCTATTTGCCCAATAAATTTGAATTCTCTCATATAGACCTAACGAGGGAATCGATCCTATTGATAATCTCCGTTTGAACTCATATATAGATAAAAATTCTGAAAGGATTTCAATTTAAGAATAAAATTGATCTTCATTTTATTATTAACTTGTCATTGAAAACGAAAAAAAAAAACAGTTCTTGAAACATATCTATTTTTAGTGTCAAATGATTCATGATCATATTAGTAAATTAAATAAACAAGTTGAACAATATCTTATTGAAGGTGTTTTAATTGAAGAATATGTTTTAAAACATATTTCAACATTATTAAAATTTATGAAAGAATGTAATATATGTTTAAAATGGATTATATTACATGCAAGTGAATTACCAATTGGTGCTGATATTAATAAACGTTGTAAACAAATGTTACAAATTGTTACTAATGAATCACAATATGATCCATCACAAGTATTTAAATTATTATTAAATACAGCACAATTTGAATTTAATCTTAAAGAGGTTGTTTTTTTTTAATATACACACACACACAAAGAAATTCTCTTGTTTCTGATAGATTGTTAGTTTATTATTAGTAGAAAAACATGATCGATGGATAGCAAATAGAAAAGAAGCTGTTGAACGTCTTATTGAATTAGCTGATGTTTTTTCTGGTACAATGCCATTAACACGTGTAGAAAAAAATGGTAGAAATATTTCTATCTTTTTTTTTTTTTGAAAATAGAATAAAAATTTTTTATGTTTTGTATTTGAAAATAGATAATCTTCAATCATGGTTTCGTACAATGGCTAAACGTATTGAATCATTAGATTTTGAAGATTGGACAAGTGCTGGACGTCAAACAAATCAAATAATGACAGCTTTAGATGAAGTACAACAATTTCATGAACTTGATACAAATATGCAAGTTAAACAATTTTTAAATGATAATAAACGTCTTTTAAGTACAATGATTTTATTAAATAATGTTCAAGAATCAACAATTAGTATTATGGATCTTGTTGCTGATTTATCTTATGCATGGATTATTATTGATAGGTAAAAATAAATATAAATTATTCAGAATAAAATATACAAATCTTTATGAAGTTATAAAAAAAAAACAAGTTTTAAAAACTTTAATCATGTTAATTAATTGAAATAGATAACAGATACATCGAAAATTTTTTATACAAGAAAATGTTTCTTCATTTTTCGACCGATTAGAATTAGAATTTTGTGCTCTTATAGAATCTATATTCAGAATATTTGTGAGATTCATAGGCTATAATAAAATCTTTCACAAACTTGAATATAAAGTTTGGACGTAGGTGATTTCACTAGCTGATTTGAGATGAAGAATGCGATCATATCCTGTTGGAAATTGATTTCATGCTGTTGTTCAATGATTGTTCTCATTACTTTTGTAAAAACACCCATTTCGTTTGATCTCACTTTCTTTTTTTGTTGAATCAGCACCTGGATAATAGATTTTTTTCTCATCAGTGATGATCATTATTGCATAGCATAAAGATCAAGATCGTCCTCTACAAAATCAGCTAAGAACTAGGAATCTCGTAGCTATCAGTCAGAAACAATCGAGTTTATTTTGAAAATCTAGAAATCAAGAAATTGCGAACATGTCATTGTATCTCTTACTAAAACTCTCATTGCTAATAGATGCCTTTCAGGAAACTGATAATGTAGAGAAATGTTTTCTCTTTCTATTGGTGTATTCATAATAAGTGTTACCTCTACCCTTAATATCTTATTAAGCACCAAAAACCATCCAAACTTTATTTTCAGGCTTCTGAAAAATTTGATCATAACTTCTAACCTATGAGTCTTACAAAAATTCTGAACATAGATGTGAAAAGAGCACAAAATTCTGATTCTAACTAAGTCCTTAATACTTTCGACGCACTTGTTACTAAACTTTCATTGTAATCCAAACAATATAAAAAATGTTTCTATGAAACTCAAGCTTTTTAATAGAAAAGATAAAGTGACAAATAATATGATCAAAAGTATTTTTATCTTATAAGAACATTACAATAATAAGTAGACTATAGAAAACAAACACCTTGCGAAAGTCGAAGTCTTTTGAGAATTTTATGCAGTATTATCGTATTTTAGTAATCAAAATCAAGAGAAAGTTTACTCCATCTCATATAACTTTTAAACGTACGTCTTGTATTTCGACTCAGAATTTTATCACTTACGAAACAAAATCTTTTACTGAACTTCATGGAAACAATAAAAACTCATATTATACTCTTTATATCTATATAACAAATGCATTTGTTTCTCATATCAACATAAGAATTATTAATGAAAATAATATTTTTTAATAATGTTTTAAAAAAAAAACAATGAAATGTTTGAAACATGCAAGAAAAGATTTACTTGTTAGTTATTCAACTGATGTTACTAAAATAAAATCTTATCATCATTTTTTCTGTAATTCTTTTATATATTTAGTTTTACTGGTGTAATGCAAGAAGGAATAAAACGTAGTCCTTCTTTAGTAACAAAATTACGTGCAACATTTTTAAAAGTAAATATTTTTTTTTTTTATAAAAATTCATTTTTTAAAATCGAAAATTTAAGCTTTCATCAGCACTTGACCTTCCATTAGTACGAATCAATCAAGTTGGTAGTAATGATCTTATGATTGTAAGTCATTATTATTCCGGTGAACTTGTTGCTTATGTACGAAAAGTTTTACAAGTAAGAAGAAAATTATTTTTCCTTTTTTTTTAATTTTTATTGTATTTATAATTTTATTAGATTATTCCTGAAACAATGTTTTCAATGTTAGCTAATATTGTTTATTTACAAACACATACATTACGTGAATTACCATTACGTGCTGAAAAAGATAAATTAAGAGAATATGCTCAACTTGATGAACGTTATCAAGTTGCAAAATTAACACATGATATTTCAATATTTACAGAAAGTATGTTAATGATGAAAACAACATTAGTTGGAATAATTAAAGTAAAATTTAAATTTATTTCAAAATAAAAAAGGAAACAAAAATAAAACAAAATTTTTATTTTTAAGCTTGATCCAAAACGTGTACTTGAAGATGGTATTCGAAAAGAATTAGTTAAACAAGTTGCAACTGCTTTACATAATGGTCTTACATTTAATCCTCGTGCTAAAGTTTGTATTTTATTCAGGATACTCCCATAAATCTATTTCTTCAGTCATTTCGGATTTTCGAAGAGAGTATAAATAATCCTATCTGAAACTTTTATTACAAATAAATCATTTAAAATATGAAGACAGATGTTCGAAAAATTTGATAATTATCCAAAAACTTTCAGACGAATTGATTGTATCCTCTTCGAGAACTAGAAATGGTCAAAAGAGATGATTTTTGTTTTTATTTAGAATAGTGAATTAATATCTAAATTAGATGCACTAGGTAATCAAATGGATGGTTTTCGTCGTTCATTTGAATATGTACAAGATTATGTTGGAATGTACGGATTAAAAATTTGGCAAGAAGAAGTATCAAGAATAATAAATTATAATGTTGAACAAGAATCGAATAGTTTTCTTAAACAAAAAGTAATTAAAAATAAAAAACATAATTTAATTTATTTTTATGTATCTTTTTTTTTTCTTAGATTTACGATTTTCAATCAACATTTCAATCACGTCATATTCCAATTCCATATATTCCACCATTAGGTGATGGTTCAATTAATTTTATGGGTCGTCTTGTACGAGAAATTCTTCGTGTTACTGATCCACGTTTAACATTTTATGCTGAACAACGTAATACATGGTATGATGTACGAACAAAACAACCTGTTGTTGATATATTACTTTTTCGAAAATTACATCGTGCTGTTGGATCATTTGGATTAAGTGGACTTGATCGTTTATTATCATTTATGATTGTTAAAGAACTTCAATTACTTACAGGAACAATACAAGGTGTTTTTCTACATAAAGAATCAAGTGATATGCTTGATTCATTTATGAGACAATTAATACCTATTGATAGTATAATTGGTAAATAAAAAAAAAAGATATATGAAATAATTTAAGAGATTTTATTTTAGCTCAACCAAATCGAGTTTATTCAAATTCTGTAGCAAAAGGAGCTAATGCTTGGTCAGCATTAAGTAATCATCTTATGAAAATTGGACAAATGCAATTATTACGTCAACAAATAGCTCATGAATTAACGGCATCAGCAAAATATGATTCAAAATATCTTTTTTATGCTCTTAAAACTTTTAATGAGTATGTTTATTTAAATTATGAAATATTGAGTAGAGTGTTAAGTTAAAATTCCTCCCTTTATCATATCTCCGCTACTATAGGTGCTGGAAATCTGAAAATTAGGATATACATAATCCACTAAGAATGTAGATCAGAGTCTCGATAGCTTAAACACAATGCGAATTATGATGGATAGAATTTGTTCTTCTTTTGAACTTTATACTTCTGAAAAGAAAGCCGGTCCCTATTATTTACGGCTCCGTTCCAGCTATTCACGCTATTAATTTCATTGTAACTTATAAACCTTTCTTAGAATGGTGACTATTCGAAGGCGAAAAGCTTCTTGATGGTTTTTGTAGATCATAACTTAGTAATACTTCGATGAGTCCAGCTCAAAATTTGAGGAAACCTCCTTCTAAAAGGAAACGACATGCCAATAATCATCATGTTGGTGTCGAGGACTCAAAGACAGTAAATTACATGAACTTTTGAGTGATGAAAGATTATATACTGCGCTTCAGTTGTAAATTAAAATGTCAAGAATTAGTCATGTATTTGATAAAAAGGTAATGCAAAATTTAATGAAAAGCTTGAAGCAAAAAAGAAGTGGCGTCCATCATAATTCTTATTGCATTTAACCTATCGGAGGGATCTCATACCTCTAACCTACATTCCTGGTGTTTGAAAAACTGTTTATAGAGACTTTTGAATGAAAGCAATGAATTATGTATTGTATTGATTTCAAGATCGCATAAGAATTACAAATCGAACATTTGCTAAACTAAATAAAATCCACATTTTTAAGCCTTTAGTTAATCAATTCATTGATATTGAAAAGTTTTCGTTAATTTTTTCTTTTGAACATCTCCAGGCGCAATAGACAGGATCGCATACAAATTCCATATTTGCTGATCTAAATTTCGAAATCGAGATCTAATGTATTAATGAAAACAAATTCAAAGACAATCATTAATTCATTTTAAAATTCAAATTTATTTCTTGTCTATTCTAGTACACTTTTACAAGATATTCAACAAGTTTATACTAATAGTAATAATCAACAAAATGAACATCCCGAAACAATGAATGAATTATTATATGAATTAGGTCCTTTATTAGAATCTGTTGGAATGAATGATGTTCTTCAACGTGTTTATATTTCAGCACAAAATCATTTCTTACTTATTCCATTACTTGTTTTATATACAATTAGTCAAGTTCCACGTATTATAACACTTAAATATCTTAAAAATCAAATGCAAACAACAAGTAGTAGTTCATCAAGTAGTGGCAAACGTGATATGGATTGTTCAGCATTTGTTATTGGACTCTATACATTAACAAAACAATATCATTCGGATTTAATTGATGATTATTTAACATGTCTTTGTCAATTTATTAAATCACATATCGAACAAGCAGGAACGTAAGTCTATTCTCATGTTTGTTTTTTTTAGTTTTTGTTATGAATCAGAATTGGATAAAGTACTCAAAGGATGGGTACTCGTGCTCAAGATCGAAAAAGTCAATGTGTCGAACACAGTTTGAAAAGATAAGACTGATACACTAAGACAACTAGACTTGAACTAATTGTCCGTGTCAGTTATATCGACTCCTATGAAAAGAATTTTCTCTCAAAGCAGTTTTTCAATGCGCTCATATAGAGTTTTTATTGTAGTTTGAATCTCGATAACAAAAATAATAATAAGAACCTTCGACCTGATCATTTATGTAACAGTCTTTAGACTAATATCTATTTTTTCGTCAATAAACTTTCAAGAGACTCATCCTTGAGTATGCGAACAAATTCGTAACTATAGTGGTTTTGAATTGATTTCGATCGAGAAGACTATTTCAAGTAATTCCTTACACGGCTTGGTTATGTTTTAAGAAAATTTAGCTATTATCTTGAAATAAACTTCCCCCGATTGAAAAATTCGAAATGAATCTAAGATTACTGTAGTTCTCATGAATTATAATTAAAAAACAAAAACAAAACTGATTTTTATTCTAGTCAAAAATTAGTTGATTTTCCAATTGAAGCAATTAATATGCTTGATTTTTTAACAATGTTTCTGCATTATGGTGATTTACCTATTAAAGTAAGAATTTCAATAAATAAAATTATAATAAAATATTATTTTTCTTATATAGGTTCTCGAACAACGTTTACCAGCTTATATATGTGATGAATTTCGTACGATTTAAAAAATTTTTAATGATTATTTTCTAATTACTAGTCAAATAAATTCCGTGTGTGTGTGTGTTTTTTTTATTTATTGATTAAGTAGAACACAAATATAATCTAACAAAATCAAAAAAAAAAAAAAATTGTTTATCAAAAAAAAAAGAACAAATAGAAATTTGTTTTTATTTAATTAACTAATGAATTATCATGAAGTGATCGACGACATTTAATATTACTCAAATAATTTCCATTGACATATGAAGAAGATTGATGATCATCAGTTGAATCATTGATTTGAGATTTATTTTCATTTGTATTATTACGAAAATGAAATAGGCGAATTAATGATGACCACCATGATTTTGTTGTTGAATTTGATTCAATGATTATTTTATGATTAACATCATCATCATCATCATCATCATTTGTTAATGGTTTAGATTCAACATTATCTTCATTAGTTATATTTTCAACATCAATTGGAGTTATTGCTTGAGATTCTTCTATTTCATCAAGATTAGTATCTTCTTTTGTAATTGACTAAACAAAGAAAACAAAAAAATAAAAATAAAAATTGAATATAAAATAATTCAAACCGGTTGTTGACTATTGCTATCATTAGTACTACTATTTGAATGCATTGATGATTGTTCTTCAATCTATAATTTAAATTAATAAAATTTGAAAAACAAAAAAAATGAAACAAAAACATACATCATCATTACTGGCAGTTGTTGTAATAGAATTAATAGTTTTTTTTTCTTTTTTTGATGTTCTGAAAAATAAAGACAAGTATTTTTTTATCAAGATAAATTTAATATAATTTACTAACTTTTCGGTCATACGAGCTTTTCGCTTTTCACCCATTTCGTTTATGACCCCTAAATGCCGTCAAAGGTTGACAAAGACGTGTATATTCTTTTCTTTGTAATATCTAGAATGAACAAGCAATGAGGTCATTAAGTTGTCCGTCCGTCCGTGTTTAATCGGTCAGACTAAATTCAACGTTTCTTTCTCTTATTTTTTTGTCGTTTCCGTTCGACCGATCGATGGCGATATTTTTTCTTGATATAATAACGCTACACACTTCTCTTGTTCTCATGATAAAGACATACATACATATAAGACAGCACATCAATAACTCAGCCAAGAAAATCAATTAATATGATGCATACTTATTTGGCGCCATACCAAGCTCAAACTTAAGTAATGTTACAGCTGTTATTAATGATTGAACAACGATGGAACAAAAAAAAAAAAAACGATTGCATCATGCTAACCTTGTAAACTGATAGAGTTGAAGTAATGATTGGTATGACTGATAAAAGTTGTTGAAAGAGTCAACTATGGTGCTATCTTGGTACTAATAGAATATAGAACATCTTCATTGAATTGTTATCTATTCTAAACTAAAGTACGTGAATATATTTTTAAAAGCTCTAGTGAACTATTACAAAAAAATATCAATTGATAGGTTAGTATTTTTATCAGTTCAAGTTATACTAATGATACAAAAATGTGATATAAACAAACGAATGTCAATTACTTCAATAAGATCTTTTACGTAATATCGAAGATTATTGACATTTGGTTTGATTGGAAATTTTTCTTTGTATCGATTAATAAGAAGAAGAAGGATAAAGAATTTGAGAAATATTTAACTTAGGTTTAGACAACGATCAATTCAGTATTCATATATTTCACATCAATCATTGATAAGCGTCCTGAGAACAAATACAAATCAAATTGCCGAGATAACGTGTTGACAAGACTGAACTAGAACGTTTATGATAAGTTATAATGTAGTATAAAAAGTTTCTTATTTATATACAAGAGAAAGAATGTAACAAAGTCATTTTTATAGATCATAGCTTTCGTTTGGTTCTGCTTAGAAGACGAAAAAGTCTCGTAAAGCCACAGAGAAACTATTCATTCATCAATTTTTCTCAGAAAAATATATTCTCAGCTGAAACTTTTAATACTCTCGTTATTAATCGTGAATACTTTCTTTTTTGTCGCTTTGTGAGGTGTTGTATCGGCTGTTCATCCTCAATCTTGCATATATATATTGATATTGCGAGCTTTTGCTCGTCCTGGATACATACAAAAATGTTTTACGATATCATCTAAATGTCTTCCGCAACATGTGGTTATAATATACTAAATTGTACAGCTGTCTCTAAGACTGTTGATGAGAAACTATTTTATAGCTTTGTTTTAGTTTGTTCGAGTACACTATAATTTCGTTCACGTTTATTAGATGCAATAGATAAAGTTGTTTGAATTCGATATAATTTAAACCATTCACGTTTCAGATATTGAGCTGAATTTTGTACATAGTATTTTACAGTATCTGTTAAATGAATTTTAGATATGTTGACAATCAAATCATATTGTTGATGTTTATCTTATCTTCTATTTTTGAAAACAGAACTTCATTTTTACATAATCAATCTGTTCATCGCAAGATAAAAACGTTGCGTATCCATAACACAAAATTTCCAGAGAGAAAGGCAGAATACAAGAAAAAATTTAGGAGAAGGAATTTACATCACTTCAGTTAACTTACAAAATGACTACTATTCAAATTTCATTTGTGATTGACGTATTAAGAGGTTACTCATTATTAGAATTTAAATTGTATTAGATCCATTTTACTGTTATAACAGATTTCATCATGAGTCAACTGAAGTGATTTCAATCAACATCTCAAATTCTACATTAAACAATAGAGCTTTTTTTTTTGAATAAATACAGATGCATAAACTTGAAAAAATCTCTCAGCATAGGATTCAGTGTTAGCACACCTTACCAACGAAAAGTATAAGATCGATACTTCGGCATTAAAATATGAACTTGTTACGTAGTGAAAAGCTATCACTCCAGATGCATGTAATAATTCAATCATATTACTTTAAAAAGACTTAACAGTATTAGAACATTGCGTCAGAGTTGATGATGGGTGATTATTGGTATTTATTCGATAGAAATACTCGTTCGAACGACAAATTTCAAAGATAATACAGTATTATACCGAAGAATGATTGATTTCATTTGATAATGGACATCTGATATCCTAGTATTGAACTAAATTCGTTTTTTTTTTGAAATTATTTGATTTTCATTCTTGATCGGATTAAATTTAAAATAAAATTCAGTGAATGTTTGTAACATGTCTGACTGAGACAAATACATAGAAAATTGATCTCATTGTATTATATTGTAACATATCGATCAGACATTCTGTTCTCTGAATACCAATATTATTATATTGAAGTTCCAATTTGATTAGTGTATGTATTAAAACACTACGATTAACAAGACATAAATTATCAGAGAACTTATCTGAATGTATTATTTTTTTTAATGTCTTAGCTAAATTCTATACTCCTTCACGAAGATTCCATTTTCTCGAATATATACTATTGTGAGGATGTGGGTAGGGCGTGGGTGTTTGGATATGGGTTTTCTTTTCATCCACACCCACATCAACATCCTTGTTTGGAATATTCCCAGTCAAGCCATGTATCTGGCAGAAGAGTTTCGTCAGGGATGTGGTCATGAAGAGTGCGCACCCCTCACTTTTGGAAAATTTTCCATTGTTACCAGCTAAAACTGTTCTTTTTATTGAAAAAAAGATTGCAGAGAAAAACAAATATTCTGCACTGTCGCTTTTAAAAATTCTACATGCACCTTACCACCTCTCAAAAATTTCTCTTGCACATCCCCACTTTTTTTTTTCTTCGTCACATTTTTGAGTTTCGCTTGGTTTTTTCCAACACAATTAACGAAACGATTCTTTCTGTCTCGCTTATGAAGAGAAAAAACACTTCAATGGTTGCCGATAGGAAGTAAAAAATTATAATCGTATATAAATAGGTTTGGTCCCATTTCGTCGACAAATCAAGACTAATTAGTTAATTTTTCCTTTTCGTCGACATATTTTTTTAAACTCTTTCCATCGACACCTACTATTCAACAGTGATTTATAAAAAGGAACATTTTATTAGACAAACTAACTCTGATAATAGAAATGAGAACATAATAGTTTCAACAATCGAATATATCTTTATCTGAATATATGTTGTGTCGACAACATTCGCATATATACGAGTCTACAAACAAAGACGTTACGTTTCTTTTGCTGTTATCTACATGACTAATCTTATATGTAAAGAACAAACATGTCCATTAGTCGAAAGCATTTTTCTAACCTTTTTCATTGAAGATAACATTATTTTTGAAATAGTTAGATGGTGTGGTCGCTATTTAGTTTATTGTTTCCTCCAAGGCAAGATATCTTCACCTATAGAGATGCCAATATACATTTAAAAAAGATTTACTGAATCAAAAAATAAATTTAAAATAAATTAAAGGAAAAATGTCACCCTATCTTTAACACAGTTCTGAAATTGGTCACAAAAAGTATGTCGACTAAATGAGAAAAAATCTTGTCGACAACATGGGAAAATGCCATGCACATAGATTTCTTGCATAAAACAATATGAAATGAAATACGACGATTATCCTATTCTCATTTTTTTTCCAAGGCTTTGACTAAAAGTATACATGCTTGTTTGATTGAACTATTAAACCAGTTTACAAGAAACGAACTTTTTGAAAAACTTGTTTTGAAATCAAGTTTCTGAAAAAATTTTCTTCATTTATTTTGAGAAAAGTTGACGATAAAAATCTAATCTTTGTTCGTTCATTAATCGAAAGATAACTTTTCATCTATTATGAAATCAATTTTGATTAGCATAAAATTATGTTACTCATCATTTTAATTATATACAGAGTGTCCCAAACGTCATGATCACTGAACAAATGTATATAACTTCATTACTGATCAAACTTTATCCAAGGCTTTCTTGTTTGAAAGAGAAGACTAGGAAGTTTTATTCTTAAAATCAAGTTCATTAACAACGTAAAAAGGTAGTACTTTTGGCTACAATACAAAGATTTGGCTTCTTTCGATGCCAAAAACCAATATGCTCCATTTGTTTTGGTATTTGTTCGAATTTCTATTATTATTATACAACCACACACTCATATCCACACCCAACCCACAGACCCATACCCACACCTCGCCCATATCTGCACCTGCATTCCACAGCCACACCACATACCTCACCGCAAAAATGCAGCATTATCGGCAGCAATAAGCTAAGGGCCAAAACTCTTTTCAGTGTATTCATAGCTCATTAGGGTCTATATGTGGCACATAGTTCGGACTCCAAAACGATTAAAGAATTGAGGAAGTTCTTTTGTTAGCTAAATATAGTATTATGATGAACGATGTGTAAATATACTATGATGAAGAAACGAAAAAAGATATTAGATGAATGGTTGTTAGCCAATATAGGAAATGCTTCATTAGCATAGTACTTAAAACTTCCAATTGAAGTGTCTCTAAGAAAACTATTCCTGTGGATATTTTTGTGTAATGATACACGGAAGGTTGATGAGAAATTTAATTTGATGAAGAATATTTTTCGCAGAATAGGATTCATAATGAGAAGTTAGAATTTGTAAAGACTTAACAGAAGCTAGAACCTTATATTCAGAGCCAGCGCAACGAACTACATACATCTAGGAAATTCTGAGGAAAGAACGATTGGATTTGTCAGAGAAACTTCTTCAACTAAGATTGGTCTCATAATTCTAAGAGTGAAAATTTTTATGCAATGCAATTCTGTTATTTAATAAGATGGTTAATATTTGAGGATCAATTTTTTTTGTAAAAAATTGACATTAAAGAATATTCTGATCTGTATAAATTCATCAAATGTCTTCTTGCTAAAATAAATCATGGTTTCAAAATAGCAAGTAGCGAAGTTGGTTTTCTTTTAAGATTATTGATTTATTTTTTATATTTAATTCTGTCTACGTTCTTGTGGACGTGGATCCAGCCAAGCCAGGGTCTGGAAGGAGCTACAGCTGAGGGTGTGGGTGTTGGTGGTGGTGATGGTCTGGATTTTCTCTTCATTCACACTCACACCCACTCATGTATCAGAGATAATCAAATTTCCTAGAGCCAATTTTTATATGTTACATGTGTGTTAAGTCTTTCTAGATACCCTGAAAAAATCAGCACTGGAAACATTTGTTCGAAGGAGTTATCAACAAAAAAAAACTAACATTAACGATCTAACATAAAAAAAGACATCGACTTTTACTTAATGCATTTTAGTTTGAAACAACTTTGAATCAAGGTAGCATTTTTGAAAACTAAATAGTAGGTTCTGTAGACAACTGTTTAGGCTACAAAATCTCTATCCAAAGTTTTTTCTGAATGAGACGTTCAAAACTAATTCCAAACAATACAAATCCTTCTTCTGAATCTCTAGAAAACCAGTTTTAAGAGGAAGTTTTTTTAAGTCCACTCTTGTTGAACATTTCACCATAGATACGGTTCGTGTTGTAGAGTTTATCCTAGAATTTTTGGATTATGTTTTTTATTCGTGTGGTTAGAGAAATATTCGCTAATTATTTTTTAATTAATAGTCAGCTGAAAGAGCCAACATCTTTACATATGTTAATGTTAGAAGAATTCATTCAAAAAAATAAACTTTGTAAAGAATCAAAGTCAAACGAAACATGGGTATGTTTCGTTTTGTCTGACATAGCTCATATTTTAATGAAACGTATACTGTATTTTTGATTTCATACTCATTTGTTTAATGTGTCACAAATATTTTGTTGTATTAAGGAAGCAGACACGAACAAAAAAAATGTCATTCGTTACAAAGCAAAGCGGGAAGAAAAAAAAATGTAATTGATAATTAGTTATAAATATATACTTTGTTTTCTTCTTCTTCTTTTTATCATAAAATGATTGAGAATAAATGTAAATCATTTGAAAATCTGCTACCTACAACTACAACGAAACAATCACATACACAGTTTCCCGAACATTTTGAAAAGCATCGTAGTAAACTTCATCGTATGTCTCTATTTTTATGATTTTTAATTTCAAATGAATATTTTTCGGATTTTATAGGTGAATTGGCTATGCGTTGGCCATTTCGTACTGATTTACCAGATTCTATATCGATACCACCGACTATTTCTAAATCTACTGCCCATTCAAATATGCGTGATGGTAATAAATCCAATATGACACTCGGTGATAATGATAATCTACGATCGAATAATTTAACATCAACAAATCATATTGGATTAATTGGGAAAAAACCTGAAACAATTAATCGTATAATACCGATTGATGACCAATTTTCATCTGATGAACGTCAACAACATATTGAATGGATATTAAAAGCACAAGAAGGTATTATTACTTATCAATTACCTGATGGTTTACCTGATGGATTTGCTTTATATAATAAACTTCAAAAATTAATGAAAACAAATACAATCTATTTAAATGATAGATATTTTTGGACAACATTAGAAAATCGATTTAAAAATTTAAGAAAAGTATCTTATTAATTTCAGTATACTATATACAATAGTGAATACAAGTCTTCGTCCTAGCCGATCTCAACTACTGTATATGCTAAAAATCATTGGCATTATGACACCGTTATTATTTAATTATAAGAGAGTTATGATGTACGGCACCTATTTTTTGTTCTCAACATTATAACCTAAAAAAAGACTGCCTTCGAAATTTTGCGCTGCATTCTTACTAAAAAATATGACTAATTCTTGTTATTTTTATATGCAGCTGAAGTCCTGTCTACAATTTCTCTTCATCCAAAAAATAAGTTCATTTTCTTGAATATTGATGTTTCTGAATCCTTAGAACTCATAAGATTATTATTTACATTCTATTTCTCTTTAATACAAGATTCGTTTCGGAAACTTGTATGTAATAATGCGTAACTGTAGCGGAAACTTTTCAAAAAGTTTGAACTATTACTGAGCTGCTGACCTCCAAATGACAATAGATGATTTCTCTCAACAACAATGATCACAGTAAAATGAGCATAGTCTTTGAAAAAACCGATAAACTTCAATGAAATTAGTAATATACATAGCTGAAGCAGAGCATGACATATAGAGGAGTCGGCTGACAATAAATATAGGTTTCATCCATCATAACTCCCTTTGTAATGAAGTAATAACGGCGCCATAATGCCAATAACTTCCAGCACCTACAGTGTTTGAGATCGATTGGGATGGAGACTTTTGTCCGCTACTGTATTTCTTTTATTATATAACTTTACAGCAAAATTTTCAAGAAAATATGGAACGTCTACGTCAAATACAACAACAATATGAACAAGAACTTATTTCTAAAGGTATATTGCCATATACAACTGAAGAAGCTGTTAAACAATATGCAGAACAACAACGAACACGAATGAAAACAGATAAAATTGTTATAGATAATTCGAATAATGTACGACAAAGAATAAATTTACTTTATTCAAATAAAAATCCTTTGACTGTTGTTGTTGTTGTTTTTAGAAAAAATGTTTAATCGATTATATTCCATCAAATAATATTTCAAATAAAAAATTCGGAGATAATCTATTAAATAAAAATGAAGAACTCGAAGCATTTGAATGTGATAATATTCATCCACGTTTTCATGAAATTTTTACAGATTATAAATTTCAAACAAAATCAGGAAAAGATATAGGAGAAAAATTTCAAGATGATTTATATAAAACTCAAGGACAAATAAAAACAATCTTTCCTAAAACAAATCAACAAGATCTTATTCGACAAGAATTAGAAGTTGTTAAAGTAATATCATATAAAATAAAAATTTTATTTCTCTATTATTTTTAAATTTAGACAAGTGAAGGACTCTATGCTTATTCAAATCGTTTGTCTAAACAAATATCAAAATAATTATTAACCATATTAAATATACAATCATTGGATCTAATAGAAGCATGGTTGTTTTTGTTTTTATTGCTTATCATTATTGTTCAATGTTTACCATATGACAATAATAGTTCCATTTGTGTTTGTCGTTTAGAGACCTTTTTTTAACAATATAAAATAGAATCATTGAGCATTAGTATTTGAACTACATTGAAGTATTAAATATTTAAGTGTTTCATTTACCTATGATATCACTCAAGGACTCAAACAAATAAAAAAATTCAAAAATTGATTCAACTTTCATCTATAATAATTAGATTGTTCACTAGTAACACATTCATTCAAAAAAAAGAACAAGCATAAACAAATCAAAATTTCCTTGACGCGTAAGTGGATATATTCTGTATAGTTTCGAGGTCCGATATAATGTGATAGGATGTCATAATTTTTTCCGGCACTTTATAATATATATTTATATATAGAAAACATTAGAAAAAAAATGCATTTACGAGAAAATTTTTTTCTTTATGTAAGTTTCCCGTTTTAGTATTTCCTCTCTACTGGCATCAGAATGCCTTAGGATACTTGTAGATGTAAGTCTTTGTTTATTCATTTGTTGAATTACTATAAGATCTCGGAGTGCAACTCTATTGTATTCATAGAAATAGTTAAATACTCTTTTCTCATTTGTTACTTAACAAAACAACAGAAACGATCTTTTCTTCGACATTATAACAAAATAAATTATAATGCATATAGAAACAAAAAATAATGGAAAAAAAAACTCCTATTCTATTTAAATTTCCAACTGTGTAAGATCGAGATTAACATCAATTTCCTTGCATGATTGGATAATCTCGTCTATCTCTAATTATTACCGATACAATTAAAAAATAAAAAAAAAAGAAACGAAATCTTTTCTTTCCCATTGTATACTTATCAAAGAATATATTTGATAGAAGATTAATTGATTGATTATAAATCTTCTATGTAAAGTTCACTATCTTTTACACACGTGTATACATAGGTACATCAGTTGATCTTTCTAATGAATGACAAAATCAAAATATCAAATCTTTCACACATCAAAGTGGACAACAGTATATCTAATCAAGTTAAGCATGTGCGTGTTAACTTCTATACATCGACATGCATGCAATTCTTTTACTCTGTTGTTGTCTCTTCTTTCGAACATTGGTGCATATTGAGTATGTCACACACACATGTGGTCATGTCAGTGAAGTGGCATCGAAAGTGAACAGCGGCGGCAATGACTGTTGTCTATGTTCAATCAAACACCTCATAATGATGAGTGATACAGTAGCCTTATTGTTGTCAAGAGTTGAACGACGTTTATTATCCTTTGATATATATGTATATATATATTCATACAAGTGAGAGACGATTGTCAAACAACATCTTCATCTTTCTCTTCTTTTTTTTATTCTCTCTCTTGTTAACCTCTTACGCGTGCTCGAGGTTTAATATCCTTTTATTCATTCAATAAATATCGTTTACTATTCTGTATCATTTAATGCATTACTATCTTTTTTAATAATCCGACAGATGTAAAGAACAAGAAGAAGAAGAAGAAGAATATCACCTTGCCAATTGCTTTCTCTTATATTCTTTTTTTACAATGCATTTATCATGTATTTCGGATTTGCTACGCTTGTCTTGATTTGAAAGAACGACTCAATTTGCATTTTCAAGCTATATGAATGATCTATCATGTATTTCTCTATATAAAGAACATGTTCTGGTGGGATGTCATTAGTGATGCGGATGTATTTCACACTTGGTCTATGCATTCATTGTATGTGTGTGTGTGTTTTTTGCTCGTCTAGTTCATTAGACAACTTTTACTTTTAATCAAAAGCTGGCACTCTTTCATTGCCTCTATGAAAAGAGGAAGAAATAAGCCTTCTCGCTTTTTCTCTTTTATAAAAGAAAAAAAGGAAATGATAGAATGACATTTGTGCGAGACTAGAATAAATGATGATAAAATCCATTTTTACCAATAAAATATATTGAATGAAGAAGAAGAAGAAGAAGACGAAGACAAAAAAAAGTGAGAAAAATATATACATCTGTTTAAGAGAAATCAACAGTGCATGACAATACATCATTTAAACATTCTTGAGATGAATAGTGATATATAGAAACACAAAAAAAAATTATGTTGACATGTGTTTGATCACTTGAACGCATTCTCGCACTAAAGGTAAAGAACGAGAGAGAGAGAGAAAGAGACGTACACCTATAGATCAATATCGAAGATTATTTTCTTTGAGATAAAACATAACTCTCTGGCATCTGCTCACACGAAAAGAGAGAATTAACTTTTCCCTCCTTCTCTCTCTCTCTCTCTCGCTATATATATCCCTATTGACGAATGATTTCATCACTTTGAGACACACGCACACATGTATATATATAATACAATCAAATAGGTATTGATGTGATAGAAAATTTCAAATTGTCTGTAAACGACGACAAGGGCGGAGTAACAACAGGAAAAATAGCACCAACTTGAATGTATTAAAATATTTTTAAAATAAAAAGTGTGACACAGCTGAAGAATATAATCATCATACCGGGATTATTTTTTTATTATTATTCTCATTTGTTTTTTTTCCACCATAAAGACAAAACAATAATTAATCGATGATCATTATTTACGCTTGATTACATCAATCCATAAAAACCAACAGAAAAGAGTTTTCTTTTTTTTTTTTTTTTTTGAGTTAAATCTCTTCATTAACAATTCAATCAAGTTCTTTTCATTAGAAGAATAACAAAAAAATGTTGGTTGGTTAGGTGGTACCCTTAAGGTGAATACTTTTCTGTAATTGGTTCAAGACTACTCTTTATAGGACAAGCAAGAGAGACTTTCTCGTTTCCTGTATTATTATGATTAACCGAAAGGAAACACAAAGTAGACAAAAAGAAAAAGAAAAAAGATAAACGTTCTATACATTTGTTAACTTGGCACATCTTCTCACCTAAGTGATAATATTCAGCAAAAATATGAAGATTTTTTCCTATTTTTAGATGTATTTTTATCGAGCATAACAATGACATTCAAATATTGCTTCTGTTTCTCAAATGATGCGATTTTTTTTTTTGACTATTGTAAACACATATTTTGAAGATTTTTTCTATTAAAATAAGATATGAATTATATATTTTTCATTTCTCGAAATCATTAACCATTAAATTTTTATCTGAACAAAAAGATGTTATAAAAACATAGCAAGGATTATAGAGCCTTAAGGGCATATTGTTATTTCGATCATCATTTATCCATCGATAATATTTTTTAATTCGATATCTCGTAGGCATGCGCAGATGCTTCTTTTAAATACAAAAAAACAAAAAAAAAAAAAAAAAAGGAAAAAAGTAAGCAGGTGATGCACGTTTGCATACTGATTTTTCATTCGTCTTAAACGTCAAACATTTTCTTTCTTTGTTCATCGTTCTCCCGTTTCCTATTAGTTGTAATTTTCTTTTACTCTTGACAAAGACATTGGTTAATATTTCTTTTCTTTTCTTTTCTCTCTCTCTCTCTTTCTATTTTACTCTTAAGACTATGAGATAGGACGTTCTACGAATGGTTGATTTTCTTTTTCTATTTCTTTCAGAATCTGATCCGACGCACACACACACACACACACACATACAAAAAGAAGAAGAAACAGACGAATCATCAGGACGAGTCAAGAATAAATTTACCACTAAATGGTGAGTGTCTCGGGAGAGATGTGTGAATATTAAAAACATTGAGAAACAGCACGTAGAGATGCTGCTTCTAACTTAAGCAAAGTTCACAGAGATAAGAGACCCTAAAAATTTACTTTTCTTTATTTGTTCGATGCACAATAAAAGAAGAAAAAAAAAAAACTCATTCTTCTTCTTCTTCTTTTTTTTATTGTTATTTTTATTATTATTTAAGGTTATTTAGTGGTACTCTGAGAAATAATGAATCCACCAACAACAAATTTTCCATCATATCTTCTTCCATCTGTTTTTAATCCACGTTATCATCAACATTTAAATCATTTAAATGATATGGCTTTTACACATACAAAAATGTTACAAGAACTTATTGAAAAACGTTCAATTGATTCATCATCATCATCAACACCATCATCACCATCATCATCATCTATATCACCAATGGCAGCAACATCAAATGATTCAATTCAACAAAAAAAACGTTCACATTCATATCTTGATAATAATAATAATGAAGAACAACAACAACAACAACAACAACAACAGCAAAAACCTTTAATTAAACATTCAAAAATTCATGATGACGATGATGATGATGATGATGATGATGAAGACGATGATAATCATTTTAACAAACGTTCAAGAAAACAATTAAAACCACAACAACTTCTTAAAGAAAATAATCAAATAAATGATGATGGTGGTGAACAATCATCATCTGAAGAAGAAATTGGAGAAGTTCATAGTCAAGATGAAAAACAAGTATTGTCTTTTTTTTTTTTGTATCTATTTCATATATTTTTTTTTTATTGATATATTTTTCTAGAATATATTTTCAATTCCACAACCACCAATATTACCTTTTTCACCACATAGTTTACCATTTTTAACTTATATTCAAGATTTAGCACGAACAAATAATATAACATCTCCTATATCTATGACACGATTTCTTGAAAATCTTCAAAAAGAATTTTTTTCTCCTGTAAATAATGCTTCTATTGAAACAAAACGTATTCCTTCATCTTTACCACCAATTTTTTCTCAAACAATTCATCATCATCATCCATATATTTCTCAAATTCTTTTTAATAATTCATTTATTAATCATTATACACCTCCACCACCACCACCACCACCCCCACCGCCGCCAATGATTCATTTTGGTAATACATTATCAGATCGTACATTTCCTTTTCGTTTATCAACACCAAAAAAACGTCGTACTAAAGTAAAATTTTCTTTTATTTGAAAAAAAAAAAAAACGAAAATATCTATTTCTTTTG